TAGTGTACGAGGCGGTGGGGGGGGAGAGTGGCAGCTATTATTCAAATACCACCGCCTGTGTAGAGGTCATAGCTGACGAGTGTAGGCATTTCATTATAACAGTCACTTCAAAGCACCAGCGTGGGCTAGGAAGTTGATTTTCACAGAACCACAAAGTCTAGAGTGTCGATCGTGAGTTAACAGTAATGACTAGCGCCTAGCCTTCGGTTGGCAGAATAGACTTTCCTGTCCAGATGCTTGAAGTACAAAAATGACGGTAAAGTGGGAGGTTTTTTGATTGTAGGAAAAATGACTAGGGCGTTCTGATGATCACCTACAAGCACGAAACAGTCGCGTGTACTTTCCCCCTCTGCGTCATAACTCTTATTTCGTACTCTGACCCTTTCGAATGCCACATCATCGTCGGTTCACAAAGAAAATCACTGACCCCTATAAAACATGAGGGACGATTGGTAAAAAGTCAACAGCCTATTTGACACTTCCCACTAGGTAGACCATGCTATTTACATCCACATGCATAAAAAATGCAGAGGTAATTGCGTGAAGGTTCGTGTAGCGGGGAGAAGCAAGGGAACACGATGTCAAGTGTGGCATTAAGGCAGCGGAATCCTCGTTTGTCGAATTTTGGAAACTAGGTAAAGCAAGACCTCGGACAAGCCCCTGGTGAACCACGGATCCACCAACTACTGGAAATCATCCCCTACAGCAAGTCTTCCAACTTAACTGGTGCCTGACGAAACAAATTTCACCAGGAATAGCCAAAACGCTCCTGTTGTGCTTTCCGATGCGGGGAGGACGTGTTCATCCCTGGATACAAAGTCTACTGAGGATCAATCCCTACGCCCAGGCTATCCACCAGAACCAACTGCTGCCGAAGCGTAACTTTTCCGGTCCTTTACCCCATCGGGGACCTGTGCCCTAAGCGCTCTTCATAAGGCAGGCCTCGAAAAAACCGACTGCCTGGACGGCAGCCTCCTCTCTGGCGCAAAAACAAACAAGATAACTTCCTACTAACTTTTACCCTGAACTGATAGAACTCGGGGAGTGGGGGTGGCGACTCCAAGTTACAGCTCCGAGAACAAAATCTGCAAATCCGCAACCTGCGGCGATTCCGCGCAAGGGCTTCCTGGTCCTGAATTATTGCAGGACGGTTCAGCAGATTCTTAAGGTGTCCATGTAATGCTGCTTTTGATCTGCTTGGTGAAAGTTACCCACAGGAACGTTGCCATGATGGAGTTGCGCTGACAAACGTTCATAATCAAACCCACACTACGCAGTTGCTTAGTCCAGGCTGAAAGTGCAAACATGTTGAACATGTCATGAGTTCCCAGAGGTGACTACGGCCCAAGCACTTAGTTCGGTTTCGGTAGTGTTATCTTCAACTGTGACGCTGTGTAAGATGGTGTCTCCACGGTGGTAAGAGAATTGGCTCACAGCGGTGAAGCAAGTACGATTGCCGATGAATGAAGATTTTGTATATTTTACTATAACTACAGATGTCTTCTCCGTGTCGATAGTTCGAAGGCAACACACAAATGTATTCAAACTTTGCGGCATACACAATTTAATTGCGGTATTCAATGCACAACTGTCGACGAATAGAAAATATTTTATCCCGAGACCGAGCATTTTGGTGATGATCAATTGTTTTGCGTTTCCCGAAGCTTCTGTTGCACTGGGCGACTACTAATTGACGCTGTGTTCCTCCTGGAGCTGCCCTCTTGGTTCCACTCGCAGCCCCACCATCGAAACGGCTAGGCACTGATCGGGTCACCATTCAACTGCAAACGTCTCTATCGAACCCATCATTGGGAACTGTCGCAGAAGATAATATGGGGGTGCAAGTGACTTTCCACGAGTGCATACACATTCCTAATGTACGGAAGGATTCGCCAAGTATTCGTTTTCGCTGTCTGATTGGAACTATTTAGTTCCTTTTCCCTAATCTCCTAATATTTTCTGCATCGAAGAACATAATTTCTGGGATAAACTTGTTGAGAAAATAATTCAAACAGGTAATTCAGCTCGATGTATCAGACTGCTGACGGTACTTCGCTTGGGACAGATTGGGTTGTTGCTATTGTTCATAGTGTAAAAATACTTTCGCACATGTTTCTTCGTGGTAAATGGTGTATCACGTTCCGTCAGTTTTTAAAGGTACGAGAACATCCAGAAATAGGAGTCTACTGCAAACCACTTTTTTTCGGATGTGAGTTTTAATTTTCAGAATGGTTGGGTTGATGGTGTTGTGAAACGTTTCTAGTTCGCCCTCTTAAACAACAAAAATGTGTTGTCTACATATCGTAGCTATAACTTTGGGTTTACTGATGGAAGTACTGTAAATTCCAGTTTCTGCCAGATATAAGTTACGCCATTGGAGCTCCTTTTGGTTGTTGAGAGTACTTGTGATCGAACAAAAAATTAGTTTCTAAACCATGGAGTATGAGCTAAAATAAGGCACCTGTGGCAACCTCCGTTTCATAAAACTTTAGGACCTTGCCTTGCCAAACCTACTATTATGCATGTGAACAAATAGGCGGCCTCGAGGGGGACCATTATCTCATCAGCGGAAAATGTGATTCCTCTCAATTTCTGTTGAAAAACTTCAGAGTCCCGAATTGAGGTTTCACAATCCCTCGTAAGTACGTGGTGTTGATGGAAAAAGGAGGGGGAATGGACTTCGTTCTTTATAATTAGATAATTCATCATACAGGCCGTGGAGGGACGCTATCCGTCTACCAACACTGTTAATTTCAAAGGCCCCCACATCGTACCTACCTCGATCTGCTTTAACAAATCGGATACTTGCCGCAGAGTTACTGCGTAAGTTAGAGGGCCAATCATAATTAACAACACTAAAAGGTATGCAATTCTTAACTGCTGGAAGCAAGTGGTGACATCAACGGCTTCCAAGCCGGAAAATAGACAGCAAAATAAATAATAAAAAAGAGATTTGCCTACCACATTCTTCCTTGCGAGCTTCGCCACGGAGTGGTGCCTGCAGTCCCGCCTCAAGATTACGCTGACGTTGAAGTTGGCTGAGGAAGAGACTGGCGTCATAGTTGAAAGACATGTGGTCAAGGAAGTTGGGATAGGAGAGCTTCCGTCTCAGCGGCTGTGGGGCTGGTAGGTGGGTGGAGATCGCGGGTGGAGCCTCTGCGGAGGGCGGCG